TGGATAATTATCAAACATTTCTTAAGAAAAACTTTATATTTTATCTGTTATTTTCAGTAATTAATCTCTGTACTATTTCGGTAAATTGGACAGATCTCGCAATCAGCATAAAAAATTATGAAATAAACATAAATTATGCCTCTTTCATTCTAGAATGAACACAAATTAAAACATGAAAACATAAATGTTTAGACGAAACAGCTTAAATCTCACAACATTATACATTTATATATATTTATTATATTGACCTTTTACCCATGCCTGGCTAACAATACAGAAGTTACAATGATGCGGCTCACGTGCACTCATGTTACCGTATCAAATAACATAAAGGTGACCTTTGGTCTGTACAAAGTAACTTGTTTTGGCTGTGTTTTAGTTGACTAGTATTTTGTAAAATACAGTCACATTTCAATTATTATACATTATATATGTATATAGATTATTGCTATTTTGGAATAAGTTCTTAAAATTATTTTTCCTAAAACACAGAACAGTAAATAAAGCAGTAAAGCAAACAAAATTATCTCTAGTTACGGCCTTTGTACTTAGTTGCTGCTTAACGTAGGTTGCTAAGCCTTTATAAATTTTCCACATGGAGAATAGATATGAAACGAAATATTTTTTTAGGTTTTATATATACTTTTGAATAACTAAAAAATCATAAATTACTACATCAATACCATAGAATTCTACTATAATTTATCAAGCTTAGTAACTAAGCTGTATTTGAGTCTAAAAAATATGAAATGTCGAGCAGACTATAGACATAACCTTCCTCATCGAAATCTTGATTCAAAAGAAAGAAATGGTGGAAGGAACGTTAGAAATGCTTAGAAAACAACTAGGGGGACATTTTGAGCTTCTGATTGGTTATTCATTTACATAAAGGAGTGTTTCCAAAAATGGAAAGAAGTGAGTGGGGTGCCACTATGTTTGATTTATTACATGAGCAATATCTTAGCAAATAGAAAAGATAAGACCTTCTTATTTTATATTCTAGCTTGCTGAGTTTCTAATTCGTATGAAACTACAGACTTAGTATTGTGACTTCACAAATATCTAATTTGAATCAGTGCTGCATTCAACATACGACGTAACATACAAAAATTTATGTTTTTCTGTATTTTTTTAATATTTATTTTTAAATTAACAAATTGAATAATGTATAGTTCTAAAATTTGAATTATAATCTACAGTTTGGTACCAAACTTATTGACATAAATTCATGAAATAGTAGTTCAATAAAATTGTGGATGCGAGTCAACAAATGATATGACATGGCCTTTCATCTGTGACCCGTGTCGAAAAGGTTAAATACTGTATTCACATTTAAAAAACATTATATAAAGTTTATACTGGAAAAATAACACAAACTCTATTGCTTATTAACAGATGTACACCCAACAAGAAAAAAATCACATGCTAACATATGATTAATTACATTATCAGCTACCCTCAGCAAATTCCAAATCACCTAAACTGAGGATGCATGTACAGTTTTCTTTCTTGAGCTGCAGTTATCATCATATTCAGGTCAACCTGTATATACAAGTCCTCTCTTAAGCTGCCATATTAGCTACAGTTTACATACTGAAAGCTGGCAAAATGTTTAAAAATCAATACCCCTAAGAATCGTTATAAAAACAGATTAACTGCAGATGCTTTTTCTCCACACGCCTCCATTTTGGCTTGAAATCAGAGGTGTGTAATAAATAGCATTTCAGATCTATCTTATGTCTCCAACAAGTCAATGCTCAATAATGTTTTTATTCAGTATCAGAACTCATCATTTGGGCTGGACAATGAGATGCTGTTTATGTATGCAGTGTAATACTTTAAATGTTATGGTTTAAATGCTGAAGACCATGAAAATATTAGAAAACTAACATGCCTAAGAATTGTTATAAAAACAGGTTAACTGTATTTTGTTTCTCAATATCATTTCATAGAATCTTTTAATTCTCATCTTCCAGCCCAACTGATGAGTTCTGGTTTTGAATGAAAATATCATGGAGCAGTGATTTGTTGGAGACAAAATATAGATCTGAAATGCTATCTATTACACAAATCAAATTAAGAAGTGTGAGGAAAAAACAAAACAAAACATTTGCAGTAAACCTGTTTTTATGCAATATTAGCTATTATCATCATAACAAAGTTAACCAAACTGTTAAAGTGTACCTTCTAGTTTTTCCTATATAAGCCACATTTTTGAAAGCCATCAGCATACTGAGGTCAACTAAATTCTCATGATGTACCTACCAGTTCTTTCTTGAGCCACTTACATATATGAACTAAACTCAAGTTGTACCTACCATTTCTCTCCTGGACAGCTGTCTTAGCTACTACTGACATATCCACCTTGTACGTATCTTCAACTTTATGCCAGAATTCTACACTATAAGGAAGGAGAAATTAATATGCAAATGAAATGTTAATATTATATTTCCTACTCCACAATTATACAAATGAATATGAGATAATTATACATGAATTTACGGACTAGGCAGTCTATGATATGCCTTTGTAGTCAATTTTGAAGAAATTATAAAAGCTACCAGAATATTCTCACAAAATACAAACTATTCATTAATGTACCAGCTTTTCAAACAATAAAGATATTCTGCCAACAGTTTGAAAATGATATAACTGTCAAGTAATGCACTGAAATAACAGAGCTCACAACCTTCTTTATCAACAAGGCCTGGTAATGGGTTCACCCCTATCATCAGTACTCAGTAGCTCCTACATGGAACATATCGAAGATAACCTCTTGAGCATCCACTCTAAGATCTACAATTTGGCTGATACATTATTAATATGGCCACACACACTATAAGTAATATTCCAGAATCCATGAACCATCTGAATATACAACATTTCACAAGATAATTCACAACAGAAAGAGAAGATAAACTCCTGTTCCAAGATGTGATGATCCCCAAGACACACACACAACTTATGCACCATAGAAGTTTACAGAAAGCCTACGAATATGGGTAAATACCTTGAATTGAAATGAAAACACTGCAAAATAAAATCATTACAGACTGCCTGGTTTCCAGAATGAACAAGATTAGTAACACCAAAAATGCTAAGAAGGAAGATAAATGCATCACTTTAATCATTCTTGACAATGGATGCCCTGAACATATGATAATTTTGTTATAAAGATGATTCATTGTGTGTCTGTGTGTTAGCATCCATCACCCAGAGTTGGTTGGCCAAATTACCATAATTTTTTGTGTGGTAAGTGGAAACTCTCTGATAGCATACATATGCTATTTCGTTTTAGGATTTTTACCCAAGGAGAGGGTTAAAAAACCCTGAAAAAAAGGCATATTTCCACTTTTTTTTTATAGACTTCTCGCTTCCATCAACCACAGTTGGCTGGCTTAAATACTGTAATTTTAATGTGATAACTGGAAACTGTCAGATAATGTACAACAGTTTTGTTGTTTCAGGATTTTTCCCCAAGAAGGGGATTAAAAACAAACGTAATAGGGCACATTTCCACTTTTTATAGACTTTTGGCTTTGAACTTAAATACAAAAATACTTAATCAGTTAAATGAATCAATAATGACCTTCCACAAGGCAGGGTGAGCAATTAACATCTAATGAGATCACTGGGAATTTGATAAAAGAAAGTAGTAAGGAGGAACATTACCTAACATTGTCATTCATGCAATTTTTGCTTCCTTAATAGGTACCCTCATCTAGTGAGAATAAAGAACATAAAGATTAAGAATATGCAGAAAGAAAATTACAAACATAAGTCCATACTCCCTTATGTCAAAGGTTTCTATAAGATCATACAAAGGATATGTAAACAGCATAAAGTGTGAACAGCATTCAGAAGCCATAACATAGTACGATCATAGTTAGTACACACAAAACCACTTAGAGATCCAATAGAGCAAAAACACCATTTATAATATCTCTTATGAATGTGGACACCAGCACATTTGAGAAGCAAAGAAACCAACAAAAAGTAGAATTCAGAAACATAATAAAATACATTACTTTGTAATAGTGATCTATTACAAAATAGCCAATCATGCCAGAGAAGACCATACAACAAAATGGAATAATATGAAAATAAAGAGATATGAACCAAAAACAAGAAAGAAAAAAACACAAGCCTTATATACAGCTACTTAACTGATAATACACCAAGTCAAAGTAACAAAGAAGTCAGAAAAATCTTGGTAGCCTTCTTAAAAGCATCCAAATAAGTTAACTGATTCAAATCCTAATGAGAGAGACCCTGCATGAGTGCATAACACACCAACCTTTCTATCAAGAAGAACCAGGACTAAATCTCAGCCACTATCAGCACAACACACAGCTCTTCTCAGGAGCTTCCTGAAGATGGCAGCGGATTAGCAGCCAAAACAGAGTACAATCATATTATATATAGACACCAAAACATCAAACATAACCTTCAGGCCACTATCAAAACATTTTATACAACTATATAAAATTATATATTAAAATATTAAAAGTGACATTACAGATGGACACTAAAACATCAAATATGACCTTCAGGCTACTATCAAAACTTTTACTGTAAACTATCACCAAAACATTAAATGTAACATTATATGCTTAGGAAAGAACATCACACCAAATTTTATAGGCTATCACCACAACATTAAAAATGGACTGTATACACTAAAATTTACATGCAGTCTACTAATATATTTATATAAGGTTACAAAGTATCATTATACCATTTTACATGACCTTATAATTTGCTATTAAAACAACTAACAATCTCAGAGGGTAAGAATTTTTTAAATAGAAATAGAACAATTATGCTTATAATCAAAACATAAAAATAGTAATTTATGATGTTCAAGAAAAAAATTTTCTTAACAAGATTTTGTATATAGAAAATCTCCAACCTTTCTTCATACTCCTCATGATCACTCAAGGGGGCAAGGTAAAGACATGCCTTCTCTGGAAACACATACCCACCCTAGGACCAAGAAACATTACCTTTTGAAAAACTTATGTTATATTAATTATAGTTTTTATAAAACTGAAATGGGTGTTTCTGTTTCCTTCTCAAGTGAACAATTTTCTCATATCACTCAAATATGTGTTGTTGCAACATAAAGGTTGTTAAACTAATTAACACCTATGTTTCACCTTCAATCATCTCAATTTGTTTGTATGATGTTTAAATGTATTCATATGCTATTTCAACATATTCTAATGAGTACTTAAGTGTAATCTTCTATCACTTAAACATGTTATACAATTTAGATAAAATCAAAATATACTCTCATAACTACATAAATGCAATTTCTTATCATTTAAAAATGTGTTCTTTTACCAACTAATTGTGCTATTCAAACATATTCTTATACTTGCCAAAATGTAATCTCACATCACTTAAAACATACACTATGCTAATTTAAGCCTATTCTCTTAAACATTAAATGTAATTCCTTATCACTTTATACATGTTTATGTATCATATAAATTGTACTTTATACAAATTATGTTATGAATTTTTATATGGAAGTACTATGTCACAAGTTTCTGGAATACCAAGAAATGAATTATAAATGCACTTCTTAAACCTAACAATAGTGCAAAAAATATATCACTATTTGACATATAACAAAATCATATAACCTGTTTTAACCAGTTGTCTCTGGCATGAAGGACTGAGGGGAGCATTGTTTCATACAGCAGCATGTATCCCTAAATGACACAAGATAAACATCAGTAAATGACACTTGACAAACAAATTTATATTTGTATGTGATACTTGAAAACAGTTACATATAACTAAAAACATATAAATGTATTATTTATAGATAAGTGCATCCCACCTTAAGGGTGAAACTGAAACCACCAAATTAGAAAAATATAGAAAATAAAGTTGTAGTCATTCTTCCACACATTTAAAAATTAATACTTCAGAGTCAAAATTTATTCAAGAGAAAAGTTTTATTTATCTATTTTTATATGTAACTTTTTTTAATGCAAGTTTTATTTTGGGTTAATTTTAGATCACTTAGAACCAAATAATTTGTATTTCTGAATTTCCTGAATTTTTTAAAATTACATGATACAGCAATCAAGAGTACCCTAAGAGGAAAGTCATAATAGTTTTGAACACAATATAATTAATGTGACCTTTTAACTTGAATACAAATGAAGTTTTATCAATATTTAGTTAATCATTGTTTCTCAGCCTCAGTTGTCATGGTGTGATATACCATATTTTTCGGAATATAAGACGCACCCTTATTTTGAAGACAAAGTTTTGGGGAAACTTTATTATTTTATCTTTACTAACTCCATTGTATTTTTTTTTATTT